TTTTTTTATGAAACCTTTCTAGAAAGCTACTAAAAAGGAATTGGGCACAAAATTAAAAGCTCGAAAAGCTTCAAATATAAAAAAGCTATGGAATAAAAATTAGCAAATCACGTGTAAGAGATTCCAGGATTACTAAGAAAAGAAAAAAAAGATAAGATACTTTTATGATAATGTCTTTATACAATAATTTTAAAGATATTATTCTTATATTGGATGGTTTTGTCAAGTGAAAAAGTTCATCAGAATTGTAAACCAGTCGGTGAGTCACCAACTCGTTCACTGGATCATTTATCCTCTGATTGCAATTTAAGTGCCGAAACAGGCCCATTAAAGCCCAACATTTAAAGCCCAACATAGACCACTACTCTCCAATTCCATCATCATCATCCTAAAACCCTAACAAGTTCAGTGTAGTCGAAAAAGCAGCGAGAGATGGACAATGGCGTTTCTTACCAGAGATTCCCAAAGGTGAAGATCCGTGAGCTTAAAGATGACTACGCCAAGTTCGAGCTTCGTGACACGGACGTTTCCATGGCCAACGCTCTCCGACGCGTTATGATCTCTGAGGTCCCAACCGTTGCAATCGATCTGGTCGAAATCGAGGTTAATTCCTCTGTTCTCAACGACGAGTTTATCGCTCATCGATTAGGGCTTATCCCTCTCACTAGCGAACGAGCTATGAGCATGCGCTTCTCTCGCGATTGTGATGCTTGCGATGGTGATGGACAGTGCGAGTTTTGCTCTGTTGAGTTTCAACTTAGCGCTAAATGTGTCACTGACCAAACCCTAGATGTTACTAGTAGGGATCTCTACAGTGCTGATCCTACTGTTACTCCAGTCGATTTCACCATTGATTCCTCTGCTTCTGATTCAACCGACCAAAGGTATCTATCTCCTTGAAATCATGATTTAAGATTAGGCATTAGAGATTGATTTTATGATGGTTACTGTCTTAACGAATTAGCTTCAGTACCCTGATTAAAGACTCTTCCTGCTTACTCTTCGGTTTTGGTTCTTCTTGATTTAAGATTAGGCACTGCTAAAACAGTCAATGTTTCAAAGTGAATGTTTCTTATGGTATTTTCAGGGGAATTATCATAGTGAAACTGCGGCGAGGACAAGAATTGAAGCTTAGGGCGATAGCGAGGAAAGGAATTGGGAAAGATCATGCAAAATGGTCTCCTGCGGCTACTGTTACATTCTTGTACGAGCCTGACATTATCATCAACGAAGATATGATGGACACTTTGACAGATGATGAAAAGATTGATTTGGTTGAGAGCAGCCCGACTAAGGTTTTCGGATTCGATCCAGACACCAGACAAGTACTTTTACAAGCTTTTAGCTTTGAGTCTTACATATGGTTTTTGTCCTACTTAATAAGGCTACCATGCTTTGATTCATATGTGATATGGATGTATGTATTGTCTCTAGCTGTTTGGTGTGTTTAGCTTTTTATGGCCTTTGGTATCATCATCATTGTAGTTATGATACTTTGCTTCTTTAGGTTGTGATGGTTGATGCGGAAGCATACACATACGATGAAGAAGTGATCAAGAAAGCAGAAGCCATGGGGAAATCGGGGCTCATTGAGATCCATCCGAAGGACGACAGTTTCATATTCACGGTTGAATCCACAGGTGCAGTCAAGGCTTCACAGCTGGTATTGAATGCCATAGATATCCTGAAGCAGAAGCTTGATGCTGTCCGTCTCTCTGACGATACCGTTGAAGCAGATGATCAGTTTGGTGAACTCGGTGCTCATATGCGTGGAGGATGAACTTGTGGTTACTCTCAGCTCCTCCATGTTTTGCCCATTTGTCTGGGACCAGAATGATGTAATTAACGGTAGTGAATTCAAACTGAGTGTCTATTCTTGCAATAGGTGTTCGGGACATGATCTGCCAATAAATCCAAAATATTGCTGTTGGAGCAGCAGTAGCAGATAGAGCCAACACTGAACCATCAGCCAAAGATTCTCTAAAAAAAAATTGAGTCAAAATTGAAAGTTGACGATAGCTAGGTCTGTTTTATGGCAAAACAAGTTAAAGATTATGGACAGGAATGCTGACAAAACCACCATTTCTAAACCTCAAGTCGTGTCCCCATGATGCAATGTGCCTGAAATATACATAAACAGTCGATGGAAATT